CATATACTATATATATATATATATAGATATATATATATATATATATATATATATATATATATATATATATATATATATATATATATATATAATTCTTTTTAATCCTCGTTTTAAGTCTTGATTGTCGTTTAATTGCTACATGCGAATTTACTTGAAGAATATATATTTAGATTATTCAATATGTTTGAACGTTATTGTTTTCAGCGAACTACAAACTTTATGGCATATGACGAAGGAGTCGAGAGCTGCAGCAGCTACATTTGGCATCTATTAATAATCGAGGGGAATATCCATAATATTTTGTGCTGGGGAAACAGAATTATGTTTAGATTCATGTTGGTTATGTCTATACATTTCGATCTTTGTTGTATATACACATTACGGTACATCTCGATTTTACGTATATACTATCATTCTGAAAAGCAACTTTTGGGAAGAAATGTTTTGTTCAATTTGATACATAGTAATTTGAGGTTTTGTCATTTCATTTTCGAGTTACGAACTTTTTAATACATAGTAATTAGAAAGGGTGAGCTTCTGTATTAATATTGAGCAATAGTATTAACTTTATAGTTATTGAATAAGAAAGTATTAGGAGGTGATTGTTATTAAGGTATAATATGAAGGACCAAAATGTATTTATTCTATTTCTACCCAATTTAAAATCAATATAAAACTTATTTGTAACTGAAACCCCCAAATCAATATTTTAGCAAAATCACAAAATCCATCAACGGAGTGGGGAAAATAAATGTTGCAGATGACGGAGGCGATGAGGTTCGGAGTTTGGAGATGGTTGCGGATCCGTGTAAAAGCGGCGGCGCAGGACAGAAAATGGTGGCTGGCTGAGCGGTGGCGGATTGGATAACCAGCGGCGACTGGTTTGGGAGAGCAAGTATTTGAAGGCCGCTATCTCTGCGTGCTGTCCGAAGCTTTCCGGCGAATTGATTTGTCCGGAATTAGGGATTTCCTCGGAGAATTGGTTGTTGTGAGGTATAAAGCATTCCTCCGGCGAATTGGTGTGTTTTCATTGAAGCTTTTCCGGCAGGGTGGGGGCAATTCTGCCATTTCACAGGCAAAATTGAACAGAAAATCGCACCCAGCAGCGCGTGCTAGACACGGTG